CCTGCAAGATTTGAAAACAAAAATGGCAGATGATGGAGAAGGAGTTACAGTGCAGGGATGATGGTTTGGATTACTTAGATATCAAGTAGGTAAAGTGTTTTTATGATTGAAACTTGAAACGCACGAGCCAAATGATGGATTGTTATGCTTATGCAAAAACTGCAAGTTTTGACAGTTTTTTTGGTGATATGGAGTGTTTGAATATTTCAGGCTTCTAGCCATCATGTTTTCTATTGTAATGTCTTTGTGTATTAGTATGGGATAAGTTTCAAGTCAGCTCTTTAACAGATCCTTGAGTTCTAGCCTTTTGGCACACTTTCTTGCTTTTGAAGCAAAGTGAAGGGACAAGTCTTCACATGCTTGTACTGGCCTGCTTAGGGTTGGTATAAGTTCCATACAAGTTGCCTTAGGTCTGTAGTACTTGTATGTGCAAAGGAGACAAGTTCAATGCTCAAGAATTGGAAAGTTGCAAAAGTGAACCTTTTCCAAAATGGCAATGGCCACTTTATGTCATTTATGGAATTACAACTTGGACAAAGGCTCTTGAGCTTGAATTAAAGCTTTGTCAACTGAGTAAGCATTAAATTATGGAGTAAAAAACAAGGTTGGGACCTGTAAAGCATGGATTAGGCAGCATAGGTACTGATTTGAAATTTGTTCTTCATGAAATGGCTTGAATTCAAAGTGAGAAATTACCAACTTCCTCTCTTCGATTCTCTCTACTCAAAAATTATCTTGAGGAGTTCTTGGATATTTTGGAAAGCATGCAATGTGTTCTATAACTCATATTAGAAATGAATTTCAAGATACCTCTTGGAACAAGGTGAAAAATTGCCATGAAGTTGGGTCCAAAACCTGCCTAAATTAGGGCAAATTTTCACTAAGTTATTTTAGTTCATGGGCATGTATTCACAAAATTATATCTTGAGATCCAAGCATCTTTAGGCAAAAGTGTGTGAAGAAAAGTTGTATATTTCATAGAGGTCTACAACTTTCATGTTGGGAACTTTCCTTGAATCATCTTGTATCATGGTGAAAAAATGGCTTAAAGTTGAGAAAAAAATAAGAAATTTTCTATACTTAGAAAAATTTCTAAGTTAAGAAAATTTCCAATTTTAAAACCTAATCTTCAATACTTGATTTCTTGATGAACAAGTTTCACATTTTGACATATTTTGATGAATTGTGACCCTTGGCACTTGATTTTGACCAAAAAGTCAAAGTTTGACTTTTCATTATACAGTTGACTTTTGATCAGTTGACTGCAAATTTCATCTGTCAACCCAATGAAATTGCAATATTTTGAACCATATAATTAGGTCAAGATGATGCAATTGAATCCTTGGAATCATGCTTCAACCCAATTGGTCATTTGCTAGGTCAAAAATCAGAAATTGCCCTTTCTCAATCAAAACCCTAATTTTGACCATTTTGCCCTTTTGATGATTTGATCAAATTTCTTGAGGAATTGTGATCCAAACTTGATCAAATGATACATATGAGTCTAGAATGTTGATGTGGATCAAAAAATATAAAGTTTGACTGTAAATTGGCCATGGTTGACTTTTTCCCCAATACAGTTGACTTTTAGGTCAACTGTCCAATTGATTGATCAAAAATGGGGTTCAAGGCTCGAAACTTGTCATGAGTAATCTTAGGGGTCCATAATGATGTTCTAAAGTCATATGAATTATTGATAGTCCAAGAATCCTTGTGCAAACTCAAACCCTAATTTTGGGTCAACAGTGTAAGATGAGATGTCTTGAGCTGACCAAACTCTAATCTAGTCTTGAGTTTAAGAGATCTTGTGAGAAAAGTCTTGATAAATGAGAGGGAAAATTTTGGGGTACAACACTTGCTCACTTTCAAATCAAACATCCTTGCTTATTTTCAAAACAAACACCAAACACTTTCAAAAACAAACTATCAAAACATGAAACATTTTCAAAAGTCCAACACTTTGTATACATTCTTACGAACGAGAACTATTAAAAAGTTTGCCTAAACGAAGGCGCCTTTTCAAAATACTTTCAAAACCATCCCAAAGCACATTTTCAAACAAAAGCAAGTGATCTAGCAAGCGACTAAGAGCCCATAGATAATTATGGATGAAAAGGGTGTTAACACCTTCCCTTTTTATAATCTACCCCCCAAACTCAAGAAATAATCTCAAAGGTCTTTCCTGTTCTTTTCAACCTTTCCTTTTGGATAAAAGAAAAGTCGGTGGCGACTCTTGCTAAGCACAAATGAAATGGAAATGAAAGACAAAACTGGAAAATATAAAGAGTTTTCATTGAATTGTAAATGTTGGTGTTATCATACGTACATCTTTCGAGCATTCGTTTCCCTATCCATGCGGTATTTTGAATGTTTACTGAATTTGTACAACAGATATGACACACCGAAATCCTAACACTAAGACCTCTATTTATACTATTTCGACCATAACGGTCTTGCTATCAGAATCTGCCACGTTCAAAGCATGCAAAGCATTACTTCCCTCTAGCCTCCACGCGTCCTCGAACGCTACAGCGCTTATGTATTTGAATTTCAAATATCCCGCTCACGTTTGAATTTCGAACGCCTTGGAACCTTCGTTTTGAATTCGTTTCAAAGGTTAATCTCGAAACAACCTTCACAAATATAATCTCATCATTATTTCGAACATTCTTTATACTTACACTCCACGGCTATCATTCGAAACCTTGAACTTTATTATTTCCATTCGAATCACAATATCAAAATCTTCAGCCAACAAAACCCAACTGGTTGTGTAATATAAACTTCTTCGTTTAATGGGCCATTTAGAAATGCATATTTCACATCCATCTAACACATATGTCAGTTGTTCATATTTGTTAAACCAACAACCAACCAGATTGTTTCGATCCTAGCAACAGGTACAAAAACTTCATCGAAATCGATTCCTTCTTTCTGAAGAAGTCCTTTCGCTACAAGTATCACCTTGTGTCGAGTTACTTCTCCTTTGGGATTCAACTTCACCTTGTATACACATTTCACATCAAATTTTACCTTCTTTCCTTGAGGAAATTCGACAAGGACCAAGTGTTGTTGACTTCGATGGACTTCAATTCCTCATTCATCACTTTCATCCACGTTGAATCCTTCAATGCCTCGGTTTCATTGATTAGTTCGACATCTACATAGAAATCATAGTGTACAAGCTCACTTTCATTATCGACTACATTATCTGATGTAATCACACATTCCTGAAACCTTGTAGGCATGTGTCTTGTTCTTTGATGTCTGCCTGTGCTTGCTTAACCTCTGACTTCTTCTTGTCGATCTTCTTTTTCGACTTCACTTAATGGTTTGTCACATAAGATTTTCACTGAATCCTTGTTTACATTTCCATTCCAATCTCATTCCTTAAGCTCATCTATGATCACTTCGATATTGATCATTGCTTGCTTGTTCACTGAGTCAAACAACTTGTATCCAACAGTCGAATGATATCCTATTAGGATCATTGCACTCGACTTGCCATGAAGTATTCTTCTCAATTGATCAGACACATGTCTATGTGCTATAAATCCAAATACTTCCAGGTGATTTAAGCTTGACTTGACACCAAAACAAGATTTTTCTGCTCAAAATGTATGTTGTAGTCGACACAACTCCACCCCAAAAAATTTTAGATAAATGCTTGTCTTTCAACATATTTCTCACCGTGTTCATGATGGTTTTATTCTTTCTTTCTTGAGTTTCATTCTGTTGCGGGGAGTAAGGTGGCACCACCTCATGCATAATCCCTTATTTTTAACATAATGTGCCAAAGTCTTTTGACACATATTCTGTACCACCGACAGTCCTCATAATCTTAGGCTTTCGGTCACTTTATCTATCTATCTATCATAGATTTAAACTTGGCAAATACCTCGATCACTTCACTTTTCTTCTTGATCATGTAAGTCCATAGTTTTCGACCGAAATTATATATGAGTGTGACAAAGTATCTATTACCTTACATACTTCGCTTGGAATGTCGATTTCTAGTAATCCTAAAACCATATTTCTTCTTTTCAAATCTCCTATGTCTTTGAAGTTAAGATGGTCAGGTCTATAGTTCCATATTTATTCATCCCTGCTAGCTGCAGTTGCAAGGCCTTACGCTCCATCCATTAGAAATTACCGACTTTTTACCATTTTTCCTCATAATCAAAACATCATTGATACCTTCAGCTTCTAGAGTATTGTCATTTACAAATTTCACCATGTTATTCATTGAGGATTTTATGTTGACAAACCAATATTTCCTACCAGTTATGTGTGATGGCTTATACAAACAGACAATCGAATAAAACATCACAATAAATATAACATCAACAAGAGCTTATCCATTCATGATAACACCAAAGTTCGAAAACAGAATTATATCCGAAGTAATTATTTGTATTTTTTTTCACAAAATGATTATTTCTACAATAAATTTACATGGATAAAAACCATAATCATGGTTTTTGCTGTCTTAAGATTAAAATGCAGCTTTTGGTTAAATAGGATGATACTAAATAGTGTATCAAAACTGAAATGGAATAAATAAAAAATATTTTACAACCGTAAATAATTATGAAAAGAACAAGTTAAAAAGAAAGTGTGACTTGTTTGTATTTTTTTTCAAAACATGAATATATAAGCATGTAAAAGGCTTTTGCTCTCTTAAGATTATATTGCAGCTTTAGTTAAACGTATTCAACTTATAACAAAACTATTAAATCGTCACTTTCATCATAAATTGAAGGTAAATAAGAAAACAAAGCCATACTCAAAATCAGTCGCCACTAATATCTCACTATTGTTTTAATTGATCGTTATACACAACCAGATTCAGAGATACACCAGATTCAGAGACACACAAAATACGGAAAAACAGAGCCGTTACAGAACAAGTACCCAATACCCAATTCTAGATCAATCCGTAGATCTTAACATCTAGAATTAAACTTAAATAATCATAAAAACGATAAGCGTCTAAATCACTACTCCCTCCAGTTTCCACCATCACCACCTCCGCCACGAGAATATCCACCACCACCACCACTTCCTCCATATCCACGGTCTCTGCTTCCTCCGTAACCACCTCCACCACCATATCCTCCTCCACCATTACCGTATCCTCCTCCACCTTCACGACGGCCACCATAGCCTCCGCCGCCACCATATCCTCCACCGCCACGGCCCCCTCCATATCCACCGCCACCACGGCCTCCTCCACCACTACCACGGCTCTGAGCTTGGTTTACAGTGATGTTACGTCCGTCCATGTCCTGACCGTTCATCCCTTCGATCGCATCTTTCATTGACTTCTCATCAGCGAATGTGACAAATCCAAAACCTCTTGACCTTCCAGTCTCACGATCGTTAATAATCTGACGAAAAATCAACAAAAAAACATCAGATCTGGTGAAAAACATAGAGAAAAACAGATCCAGAACCGAATAGTAACCGATCAATCTTCGCCTTTGTTAAAAGAAGAAGATGAACGTACCTATTGGTGTGAGCAATAAAAGAATCAAACGATATAGTAACAGAATCACAATCACAGTAGAAAATAGATCAAGTAACACAGTAACAGAAACAGATCACAGATCAGAATAGGATCGAGATGAATCCGAATCAAAATCGTGTCAGATCCGCCTGCAACAAACGGACCTTCGAGTCGAGGATGTCACCGTATTGAGAGAAAGCTTTCTCTAGGGCTTCGTTGTCAGTGGCCCATGCTAGACCACCAACGAAGCACCGGTACTCGGCATCTGAGGCAGCCATGGAAGAAGAAAAACTGTAATTGGGACTTAGATGGTATAAAGGGAAAAGATTGCTTGAGATATTATTTAGCGAACACCGAAAGGGTTGTTATATAGCTGAGGAATGAGAGGTTGAGTTAACTAGGGTTAGTACCCCGGGTTAAACTTATGACTGTTGAGAATGAATGAGCCCAATGTATTGAGTTAGGTTTACCCGATTATCAAGGACTATTGGGCCACAAAAGATGGTGGCGTATTCTCTTTACAGATATTTTTCTGAGATATTTTCTCTATTCTCGTACAAGTGGTTTCAATACCGACAAATTTAATAAAAAGTCTATTTTATCCTCGTATTTTATAAACATTTGAATAAAAATTCATTTTGATTCGGAGCAGATTTGTAAATCTCAGTTTAATTTTTTTTATAAATATTTTAATGAATAAATTAGGACATAATTTCTTTCTTATTTATATTTTATTTGGTTGATAAAGATAATATAGGAAAAAATAAAATAAAAAATATTAGTTACTCAAAAAATTAATATAAGAGAAAATGAAAATAAAATATGAGAAGCTCGAGTGGGAGGACGATCGAAAAAATTGGTGCCTTTGACATCGTCAAACCACCGTGCGCAAACAGAGTGGGAGGATAGCCTAGGCGGATGAAAAACATTGCAAGTAATTCGAACAACTCTAAGAAAACTAAGGAATCAGAGGTTGAAGACGAACTGACCGAAGAAAAACCGGGCTAGGAAACCCTAATTACATATCCGACGAAGCAGTGAGAACCTAGCAGCAAGGAAGAATCTACAAAATCGAAGAAGCTTTAGGTGGACATTATCATAGAAAATCGAACTCCAGATAATGGGGTGGCAATCGATTTTGTGGCGCCGAAAGTAGTTAATGGGGGAATTTAAATCGAAATAGATGAAACTGACGTGGAAATTGCGGTAATATTTTGGGAAACTACTCTGATTATGTATGTCCTAGGAGGTGAATTGAGTATGACTACTGTTAAAAACTACATGATAATACTTTAGGATTTCGTCAATTTACGTGAAATGTATTATCATGACGAGGGATACTTTCTATTGAGATTTAAGTCGTTCAAGGATAGAGATGTAGTGATGATGAATGGGCCCTACACAATTCGTAACATGTCCATAATTTTGAAGGAGTGGCATCTAGACTTTAGCATGAAGAGAGACATGTTAAGAACCCTACCTATCTGGGTGAAATTCCCCCAATTGCCTTTGCACCTTTGGGGGGCTAAGAGTTTGGGAAAGATGTGTAGTGCTAATCAAATTCAATTTCGGTACATGCGAAGAATTTCGATACACGATTTCAAATTTAATTTCCATTCATTATTCTATCTCACACGCTGACTTGAGCGTTGAAGTGTTAATCTTTTAGTTCATCCCCCCATCTACTGCATCGGAAGCTCAAATCCATTGTTAGCCATCACAACCACCAATTCGTTGATCAAATCTGGTTCCACAACGGAACAGTGGCGTGGTCTATGAGAGTCAATTTTTTATTCACGCGTTTTATGCAATCACATTTTCTCTCTTCGATCCATTGGTTCGAAACCTTTTTAGTTTATCGGATCTGTGTTCTTAAAATCTAACATTAGATATGCTACCGTTTAACCTAGTCGAATATCATATCAGCCTTAATTTCCTAAATTTCCATATTCTTGACTTCTAAAATTTTCAATAATGGTTGGATCTAAAGCTACTCGTTCAGTCGCAACTCGTGAAGTCGCAACCGCTCAAGTGGCAATCAATCAGACATCTGATACCACTGCCAGCTTCGCAACCAGAAGCATTGCCTAGTTTCTAGTTGTTGTGAGTCAACCTCATAATACAAAGTGTCAATGAATTGTTGAACAACATGTATGTTGTACCCTAAAATTTTCCCTCTCATTTCTCAAGAAATCTCTCACAAGATCTCCGTTGGTTCAAGACTACACAAAGTTTGATCAGCTCAAGACACCTCCTTAAGCACTGATGACTTAAATTAGGGTTTGAGTTTTCACAAGGACAATTGAAATTTCAAATCCTCAAATTACTTTCATGGATCATTTTGGACCCTCAAGATTGCTCATATCAAGTTTCAAGTCTTGGATCACATTTTTGCTCAGTCAATTGATCAGATGACCTAAAATCAATTGTATTGGGGGAAAATTCAAATATGGTCGATTTACAGTCAAACTTCATAATTTTTTATCCATATCAACATTATGAACTCATATATATCATTTGATCAAGTTTGGATCACCATTCCTCAAGAAATTTGATCAGAACATCAAAAGGGCAAAATGGTTCAATTTCTGATTTTTGACTTAACAAATGACTTGTTGGTTTAAGACGTGATCTCAAGGATTAAAATAATTCATTTTGACCTAATGGCATGGCTCAAAACATTTCTCAAGATCAATTGATTGATAGTTGAATTTCAATCAACTGATAAAAAATCAATTGTACACTAAAAAGTCAAACTTTGACTTTTTGATCAAAATCAAGTTTCAAAGATTACAATTCATCAAGACATGTCAAAATATGAAACTTGTTCATCAAGAAATCAAAAAAAGTCAAGATTTCATTTTGAAAAGTCAAAATTTCCAAGACTTAGAATTTTTGTAAGTGTTGAAAATTCATGTTTTTTTCATAACTTTGTGCCAAATTTACACCATAATGCAAGATGATTCAAGAGAAACTTCCAACATGAAAGTTGTAGATCTCAATGAGATCTAAAACATTTTAGGGCAGAACTTTTTATATAAATGCTTATATTTCAAGTTATGATTTTGCGAAGACATGCTCATGAAACTTGAAGACTTAATGAAATTTTGCCCTAGTTTAGGCAGGATTTTGACCTAACTTCATGGCAATTTTTCACCTACTTCCAAATTGAATTTTTCAAAAATGTCCAACATGAAGGTTATAGGGGATGTTACAAGCTTTCCAAAATGGCCAAGAACTCATTAAGATCATACTTGATCTGAGAGAATCGAAGGCTAGAAGTTAGGGTTTCAAACTTGAATTACAAGCCATTTCTTGATGAACACATAATCCAATCTCAATGTTAGGTTGCATAATCTTACTTTTCATGTCTTCTAACTTGTGTATCTATCCATAATTAATGGATTACATAAACTTTTGAGTTATAATCCAAGTGGTTTAAGCATTGTCCAAGTCCATTTGCCATTTTGGGAAGAAAGCTAACATTGCCATTCTTGAAAAGCAAGCTTTATGCACAAAGTCAATTCTTGAGCCTCTCACTTGTTTCCTCTGATCACACTTCATCTACTAAGTCAGAAGCAAGTTTGTTTAAAGCATAATCACTCTACAATAGCAAGTACAAAGTATTGAAACTTGATTTTTCAAAGAAATCACATGTTGAGCTTAAACATTTGATTTTTGGATTCTGATCAACTACAAGTCTCAAAACTTGTTGCTTATAAATAGAGGCCCTATTTGCAAGCTAACACACGAGCTTAAGCACCCTGAAACTCTCTCAAGCTCCCTCAAATCAGAACTTGCATCAAAACTCCATTCATGTGCACATTCGGACTTTGAACTTGTAACTCACAATTCCCTCGTGCGTTTTCCTTACTAATCAATCACAAAGCTCCTATACATCAAATATAGTCCATCCTTGTCCCTGTTTCATAACTGTAACTCCATCTCCATCATTCTCCATAACCAAAAACAGAGCTCTGCAAGTGGACTTCTCTAGGCCATTCCAGCCATTCATTGCTCAAGTTAAGCATTGCATTAGCTTCCTGGGAACTTGAGGAAGCTAACCTGATCATTGCAGCACCTTGAATCAAGCTCGTTTGCATTTCACGATTTCCAGTTTTGAAGTATCTTTTCTGAACTTCTATCTTTTCATTTGGGAATTATTAAGCTTGCATTTGTGAAGATAAAATGTAGATATCATTGTCCTGAAGTTGTACATGTCCATAAATTTCATTTATATTGATTGAGCTTAGAGAATTTTAGGTTTGAATCTCTGAAAAAATTTAGATCAGAATTTGGTACTTTTAGAAATTCTCATTCATCTTTGATTTATATCTTATGATATTTATATGGTTGGATTCGTATGGAAAAATGGAGCAACTTTCATGTTTGCATCTTTCATTTTTGTTGAGAAATGAGCAAGTTACATGAACCATGATTGGAGGTTGAAGATGAAGTCATTTCCAGGACATGACTTATATTATGTATTTATTATTTCACTTATATTAACGGATGTACAGCCACCTGTTTACAGTGATTTCTGGTAAACAACCGCTAGTCCTCCAAACTATCGAATAATCTTACTGATTGTTATTCAATCTCTCTGGTAACTCGCAGGATCGGCTAGATTGATCCTAGGATGTATTGGTCATTAGGGTAATTCTTATGATAGAACTGGTATTCATGGTTGGTATTTAGAATGTTGTGTAGGTGTTTAACTTACTTCGATTGCTCTATTAAAGATTTAAAGGCGTGCTCAAGTAAATGTGCGCGAAACTAAATTGCATGAATAAAGTTCAATTGTAAAGACATGTAAAAACTGCGTAAAAGATAAGTAAACGACTTCGAAGCATAAAAACATGTAATGTAAAAGATTCGAAATATGAAGAAAGCGTTTAAATGCAAGAAAACAGTAAAATGACTTTAAGTGAAAAAGGTGTTCGAATGATAAAAGCTTGAAGATAAAGGCATGAAATGTACAACGGTTTCTGAAATGTAAAGCATTTGAAGTGAAAAGAAAGCATTTAAATGTAAGACATTAGTAAAAAGACTTCGAATGAAAACACTTTAATGCAAAAACTTTTGAATGGTATTGACATGAAGATAAAGGAAAATACTGGAAATGGCAAAGAGTTTTTATTAAATCATAAACACTTGGTGTTATCATACGTACATTGCTCGTGCATTCGTTTCCCTAGCCATGTGGTATTTTGAATGTTTACTGAGTTTTTTGTACAATAGATATGACACACGAAATCCTAATGCTAAGACTTCTATT